CCGCCACAGTGTGTGTGGGCAGGCACCGTCCGTAGCCGCCACAGTGTGTGTGGGCAGGCACCGTCCGTAGCCGCCACAGTGTGTGTGGGCAGGCACCGTCCGTAGCCGCCACAGTGTGTGTGGGCAGGCACCGTCCGTAGCCGCCACAGTGTGTGTGGGCAGGCACCGTCCGTAGCCGCCACAGTGTGTGTGGGCAGGCACCGTCCGTAGCCGCCACAGTGTGTGTGGGCAGGCACCGTCCGTAGCCGCCACAGTGTGTGTGGGCAGGCACCGTCCGTAGCCGCCACAGTGTGTGTGGGCAGGCACCGTCCGTAGCCGCCACAGTGTGTGTGGGCAGGCACCGTCCGTAGCCGCCACAGTGTGTGTGGGCAGGCACCGTCCGTAGCCGCCACAGTGTGTGTGGGCAGGCACCGTCCGTAGCCGCCACAGTGTGTGTGGGCAGGCACCGTCCGTAGCCGCCACAGTGTGTGTGGGCAGGCACCGTCCGTAGCCGCCACAGTGTGTGTGGGCAGGCACCGTCCGTAGCCGCCACAGTGTGTGTGGGCAGGCACCGTCCGTAGCCGCCACAGTGTGTGTGGGCAGGCACCGTCCGTAGCCGCCACAGTGTGTGTGGGCAGGCACCGTCCGTAGCCGCCACAGTGTGTGTGGGCAGGCACCGTCCGTAGCCGCCACAGTGTGTGTGGGCAGGCACCGTCCGTAGCCGCCACAGTGTGTGTGGGCAGGCACCGTCCGTAGCCGCCACAGTGTGTGTGGGCAGGCACCGTCCGTAGCCGCCACAGTGTGTGTGGGCAGGCACCGTCCGTAGCCGCCACAGTGTGTGTGGGCAGGCACCGTCCGTAGCCGCCACAGTGTGTGTGGGCAGGCACCGTCCGTAGCCGCCACAGTGTGTGTGGGCAGGCACCGTCCGTAGCCGCCACAGTGTGTGTGGGCAGGCACCGTCCGTAGCCGCCACAGTGTGTGTGGGCAGGCACCGTCCGTAGCCGCCACAGTGTGTGTGGGCAGGCACCGTCCGTAGCCGCCACAGTGTGTGTGGGCAGGCACCGTCCGTAGCCGCCACAGTGTGTGTGGGCAGGCACCGTCCGTAGCCGCCACAGTGTGTGTGGGCAGGCACCGTCCGTAGCCGCCACAGTGTGTGTGGGCAGGCACCGTCCGTAGCCGCCACAGTGTGTGTGGGCAGGCACCGTCCGTAGCCGCCACAGTGTGTGTGGGCAGGCACCGTCCGTAGCCGCCACAGTGTGTGTGGGCAGGCACCGTCCGTAGCCGCCACAGTGTGTGTGGGCAGGCACCGTCCGTAGCCGCCACAGTGTGTGTGGGCAGGCACCGTCCGTAGCCGCCACAGTGTGTGTGGGCAGGCACCGTCCGTAGCCGCCACAGTGTGTGTGGGCAGGCACCGTCCGTAGCCGCCACAGTGTGTGTGGGCAGGCACCGTCCGTAGCCGCCACAGTGTGTGTGGGCAGGCACCGTCCGTAGCCGCCACAGTGTGTGTGGGCAGGCACCGTCCGTAGCCGCCACAGTGTGTGTGGGCAGGCACCGTCCGTAGCCGCCACAGTGTGTGTGGGCAGGCACCGTCCGTAGCCGCCACAGTGTGTGTGGGCAGGCACCGTCCGTAGCCGCCACAGTGTGTGTGGGCAGGCACCGTCCGTAGCCGCCACAGTGTGTGTGGGCAGGCACCGTCCGTAGCCGCCACAGTGTGTGTGGGCAGGCACCGTCCGTAGCCGCCACAGTGTGTGTGGGCAGGCACCGTCCGTAGCCGCCACAGTGTGTGTGGGCAGGCACCGTCCGTAGCCGCCACAGTGTGTGTGGGCAGGCACCGTCCGTAGCCGCCACAGTGTGTGTGGGCAGGCACCGTCCGTAGCCGCCACAGTGTGTGTGGGCAGGCACCGTCCGTAGCCGCCACAGTGTGTGTGGGCAGGCACCGTCCGTAGCCGCCACAGTGTGTGTGGGCAGGCACCGTCCGTAGCCGCCACAGTGTGTGTGGGCAGGCACCGTCCGTAGCCGCCACAGTGTGTGTGGGCAGGCACCGTCCGTAGCCGCCACAGTGTGTGTGGGCAGGCACCGTCCGTAGCCGCCACAGTGTGTGTGGGCAGGCACCGTCCGTAGCCGCCACAGTGTGTGTGGGCAGGCACCGTCCGTAGCCGCCACAGTGTGTGTGGGCAGGCACCGTCCGTAGCCGCCACAGTGTGTGTGGGCAGGCACCGTCCGTAGCCGCCACAGTGTGTGTGGGCAGGCACCGTCCGTAGCCGCCACAGTGTGTGTGGGCAGGCACCGTCCGTAGCCGCCACAGTGTGTGTGGGCAGGCACCGTCCGTAGCCGCCACAGTGTGTGTGGGCAGGCACCGTCCGTAGCCGCCACAGTGTGTGTGGGCAGGCACCGTCCGTAGCCGCCACAGTGTGTGTGGGCAGGCACCGTCCGTAGCCGCCACAGTGTGTGTGGGCAGGCACCGTCCGTAGCCGCCACAGTGTGTGTGGGCAGGCACCGTCCGTAGCCGCCACAGTGTGTGTGGGCAGGCACCGTCCGTAGCCGCCACAGTGTGTGTGGGCAGGCACCGTCCGTAGCCGCCACAGTGTGTGTGGGCAGGCACCGTCCGTAGCCGCCACAGTGTGTGTGGGCAGGCACCGTCCGTAGCCGCCACAGTGTGTGTGGGCAGGCACCGTCCGTAGCCGCCACAGTGTGTGTGGGCAGGCACCGTCCGTAGCCGCCACAGTGTGTGTGGGCAGGCACCGTCCGTAGCCGCCACAGTGTGTGTGGGCAGGCACCGTCCGTAGCCGCCACAGTGTGTGTGGGCAGGCACCGTCCGTAGCCGCCACAGTGTGTGTGGGCAGGCACCGTCCGTAGCCGCCACAGTGTGTGTGGGCAGGCACCGTCCGTAGCCGCCACAGTGTGTGTGGGCAGGCACCGTCCGTAGCCGCCACAGTGTGTGTGGGCAGGCACCGTCCGTAGCCGCCACAGTGTGTGTGGGCAGGCACCGTCCGTAGCCGCCACAGTGTGTGTGGGCAGGCACCGTCCGTAGCCGCCACAGTGTGTGTGGGCAGGCACCGTCCGTAGCCGCCACAGTGTGTGTGGGCAGGCACCGTCCGTAGCCGCCACAGTGTGTGTGGGCAGGCACCGTCCGTAGCCGCCACAGTGTGTGTGGGCAGGCACCGTCCGTAGCCGCCACAGTGTGTGTGGGCAGGCACCGTCCGTAGCCGCCACAGTGTGTGTGGGCAGGCACCGTCCGTAGCCGCCACAGTGTGTGTGGGCAGGCACCGTCCGTAGCCGCCACAGTGTGTGTGGGCAGGCACCGTCCGTAGCCGCCACAGTGTGTGTGGGCAGGCACCGTCCGTAGCCGCCACAGTGTGTGTGGGCAGGCACCGTCCGTAGCCGCCACAGTGTGTGTGGGCAGGCACCGTCCGTAGCCGCCACAGTGTGTGTGGGCAGGCACCGTCCGTAGCCGCCACAGTGTGTGTGGGCAGGCACCGTCCGTAGCCGCCACAGTGTGTGTGGGCAGGCACCGTCCGTAGCCGCCACAGGGGGTCAGATTCACCTACCCCACTCAATCCACATGCCCACACACAGGAAGCACTCACCGCACACATTGCTGCTTTTGAGGTGCGCCCCAGCGGTGCACATGCACGTCCACCGAGTGGCAGGCAGTAAGGAAGCCGAAACATCCCCAGCCGAATCGTCCACACTGGGCTGGCACACGAGCAGCACCCACCACCTACCTACACCCATCCAACAGATATAGCACTCACCGCACACGTCGCTGCCTTTCAGAGTGGCCCCAGCGGTGCACATGCACGTCCACTGCGTAGCCGGGAGGAGAGAAGCCGAGACATCCCCTGGAGTATCGTCCACACTGGGCTGGCAGCGGCCGTAGCCGCCACAGGGGGTCATGTACGGCGCTGCCGAGTAGACGGACGATGGATGCGAGAAGGAAGAAGAGGAGGAAGAGGAGGAGGCAGCATTGTTAGTGGTGTTGGTGCGTTTGAGAGCAGTTGGAGAGGCGGATGCAGCGGTGCGGGGGGTAGAATGAGCAGCAGCAGCGGCAGTGGCAGCAGCATCAGTAGCAGCGGTGGCTATCAGGGCAGCTGGGTCCCTTGGAGCACGAGTGGCAGCAGCAGCAGTAGTAGCCGTAGCAGCCGTAGCAGGATGAAGAGCAGCTGCGGCAGCTGTGCCAGCAGTACCTCCCACCTCCGCTCCCCCACACTGGGCCAGGCAGCGGGACGGCGTGCGCTGAGGGTAACTAGTGCACCTCGCCCCGGGGTTAGCGAAGCAGTTGCCCACTGTGTTGCACGACATGGTGAAAGGGAAGCGACCGCGGATAAAATTGTGGGAGATTGAGAGGGTGCCGAGGGACTTGGATTTCGTGTGTGGGAGGGTTCCGGTGAGAAAGTTGCGCGAGAGGAGGCTGGTTGGGGGAAGGTGGAGGGGGGGAAAGGGGAGTGGGTAGAGGGGAGGAACGTGAGAAACAAGCTGTGGAGAGTGAGAGGGTGCCGAGGGACTTTGATTTCTTATGTGGGAAAGAGAGAAAGTTGCGCGATAGGAGGCTGGTTGGGGGGGAGAAGAGGGGTTGAGGGAGGGGACAGAAAGAGCATGACATGGAGAAGTGAAAGGGAAGCGGCCGCGGATAGAGTTGTGGGAGATTGAGAGGGTGCCGAGTGTCTTGGATTTCTTGGGTGGGATGGTTCCCGTGAGAAAGTTGCGCGATAGGAGGCTGGAGAGGTGGGGAGAGAGGACAAGGGATGGGAGGGGAGGGGAAGAACGTGGGAATAAGAAGTGGCTGCGGATAAAGTTGTGGGAGAGTGAGAGGGTAGAAGGGAGACTAAGGGATAGAAGGGTGTTGGATTTCTTGGATCGGAGGGCTCTGATGGGAAATTGCACGATAGGAAGGTGGGAGGGGTGCCAAGGGTGGAGGAGGGGTGTTTGAGAATTCTAAAAAAACAGCGGGAGGGCTCTGATGGGGCGGGTAAGGAGGAGGGTTGGGGGATGGGTGGGCCAAGGGCGGTTAGAGTGAGAACTCACAGTTTTTGCAGCTTGGGCCGCAGAAGCAGGTAGGAGGGCACAGATCCCCAGAGCTTATTGTTGTTCAGACTCCTGGTGACGGGGAAGAGGGAGAGAGGGAGGGGGAAGGAGACACGAAAGTCACCTCGAGTTTTGAGTCGAGAGGTGCAGCAAGGGCGACTTTTGAGTCGACTCAAAAGTCACCTCGAGTCAAGCCCTCTGCAGCAGGTAGGAGGGCACCGGTTTGCAGCAAGGGCCGGGCAAATCGGTCCATGGGTTGAGTCGGGGAGCGAAATGGGAGAAGAGGGAAAAGGCTAGGGAAGGGGGGGATGGGAGACTCACAGAACGCGGAGGTTCGGGAGGTGCAGCAGAGGCCGGGCGAATTGGTCTAGTGACGCATTGAGGCGGTTGGAGGAGAGATCGCTGTGGGGGAGGAGAACGGGGAAAGAAAAGGAAGCGGGGAGTTGGAGGGGGGGGATTTGAGGTGCAGCAAAAAGGGGAACGAATTGGTCTAGCGATGCGTTGAGGCGGTAGGAGGAGAGGTCGCTGTGGGGGAGGAGGGTGGGAAGGGGGAGGGGGGACGCGGGGGAAGATGGGATAGGAGAAAAGGGGAACAGACGGGAGGGAGATGCAGCAAGGGCCGCACGAATTGGTCCAGCAATGCGTTGAGGCGATTGGAAGAAAGATAATTGTGGGACAAAAAGGGGGAGGTGAGGAGTTCGAGGGGGGAAGAGGGCAGGGGGGGGGGGGGTGGAGGAGGGAAGATGGATTAGGGGAGCAGAGGACGAACGGGTAGGATAGAGTTTTGAGCGGGTAAAAAAGGTTAGGTTAGGCCGGTGCGAGATGGAGCACGTACAGGTAGGTTAGGGTTTTGAGCTTGGAGAAGCTGCTGGGGAGGAGACCCGGTATGGTAATCACGTTGTAAGCCGTGCTGCAGAGAAGTCACAACACAACACAGCATGACATGGCATGGTGGAATACAGTGAGAAGTATTGCACATCATCTCATCGATCCTGGAAAGGATCTCCGAGACCCAGTGCAGTGATGACGTTGTAAGCCGTGCTGCAGAGCAGTCACAACACACAACATCACATGGGTGGTGGAATATAGTTGAAATCATCGCACATCATTTCATCGATCCTGAAATGAATCTCCGAGACCCGGTGCGGTGTGGTGATCAGGTTGTAAGCCACGCTGCAGTCACAACTCGACGTGGGTGCAGTGTATTCAAAACAGAAGCAAGTTCAGGAACAAGTTCAGTAATTACGGCATGAGCAAAAGATTGAGCGAACCGGTTTGGTTTATTTTTTGCTGTTCGTGTCAACCAATTCAAGCTACCCCCGTTATATAAGCTAGCCCCTTACACGGAGACGACGTCCCCCTTGGTGTCACAGTCGACGCCTATCCACGCGCCACAGACCACCTTCCCGTTGGTGCGCCACCACTGCATGCCCGTCTGCATCAGGTCTAACATCCCCGCTACAAGCAAACCTCGTTACAAGCCATCCCGGTATAAGCTATCAACGTACACAGAAACGACGTCCCCCTTGGTGTCACACTCGACGCCTATCCACGCACCACAGACCACCTTCCCGTTGGTGCGCCACCACTGCATGCCCGTCTGCATCAGGTCTAACATCCCCGCTACAAGCAAACCTCGTTACAAGCCATCCCGGTATAAGCTATCAACGTACACAGAAACGACGTCCCCCTTGGTGTCACACTCGACGCCTATCCACGCACCACAGACCACCTTCCCGTTGGTGCGCCACCATTATAGCTCCGTCTGCATACACACGCTCCCAGGCCTGTTATCCCCGTTACAAGCTATCCTCGTTATAAGCAGCCCCTTACACGGAGACGACGTTCCCCTTGGTGTCGCACTCGACGCCTATCCACGCGCCGCACACGACCTTCCCATTCGTGCGCCACCACTGCATGCCCGTCACTCCCAAGGCCACGCGCATCTCTATCAGCGCCATCACTGGGGGAAAACGGAGCGGGGTGGGGGGAAGGGAGGAGGAGATGGGGGGAAGCGGGGAGGAGAAGGGGGAGGGTGGGGAGAGAGGTTCTAAATGCGCCACCACTGCATGCCCGTCACCCCCAGCGCCACGCGCATCTCTCAGCACCATCACTGGGGGAGGCGAGAGAGGGGCGGGGGGGAGTGGGGGAGGAACGGGGGGCGAGGTTTTGGGACCTTACCATGTGCTTGGTTCATGTCAACGGCTAGCACGGGCGAACCCGACGTTTTCCCGTCGACTCAATGCCGATCACAATAAGCTAGGGCTGAGCCCGGCTTACTTATCGCGAGCCGGAGTCTTACCATGTTCTTGGTTCATGTCAACGGCTAGCACGGGCGGCGCGGGCGACGCGGCCAGCAGCAACAACAGGACGGGCAGCTGCAGGAGCAGCAGTGACGAATGTTGCCGGCGAGACGGCCCGTAGCAGTGCCGCCGCGCGCAACCTGTAGATCCTTGGCGAGCCGCCGAGCCTGATTCCGAGGCTGAAGCCATGGCCGAGGCCGAGCCTACTTCCGAGCCTGACTTCAAGCTTGAGACCGAGCCTGAGCCCAGGGTGGAGCACAATTCCGAGCCGGAGATTGAGGAGCGTGAAGACCGTGTGTCAGGTTGCGACCCAAATGGCCTGCTTCGTTGGACAACATCGTCTCGCGTCGCTGTCGTGTCGCGCGCGTAGTAGCAGGACTGTTCCGAGCCGCTTCGTGTATCACCGAGCCTGCTGCAGTCGCTGGTGCTGTCGCGAACTTGTCTTAGTTCGCACCCTCTGCTGCTGGTTACCGCCGACCGTCTTGCACCATCGTCAACGGTCGTTCTGTACATGACTAGTAGGATCTTTCTACCGAGAGAGTAAGCGAGCTAGGGTAACCAGGTTACGAACTATATCTGCACGGCCGCCTAGAAATTTGTGACAGTGGGCGGTAAGCCAACGAAATCGACGTGGCAAATATAACTCTGGAGAATAGATACTCGAAAGAGATACTCTCGAAAAAGGTACTGACTGCCGATTGGGCAAGAGAGTGTCTGACCCGTCCTGGTCGAAACGAAAAGACAGTAACAATGATCGCGCAGGGAGGGTCACCGTAGTAGACCTAGTGATTTACAGGCGTTTGATATGCTAGCGTCGTTGGTCTTTCGTCCCGTTTACAGAAAACGCACCGCGCGGCACGCCACGGAGCCCGAGTCGGGACGGCGAGGAACAAAAAGGGAATTTGGACGGTATTTTGGCAACTAGCTCACGATAAGATCGCTCGCGGCGCTTCTTAGTCGTTATCTTGTTCTTCTCCCTCCTGCTCTCACTCGAATGCTTGTCGCTTCAGGTCTCGCTGGAGCTGGTTTCCTTATCGCTTTCTCGAGATGATGGGGCAATCTGAGCCGTTCCGTTACGGTATTCCAGGTTGCAAGAGTGGTGGGACATTTCCAAGGTGGTCCCAAACAGACGGACGAAACGCTGACCGTCGCAAGGAGTTGCCGGTTACAGTGCAAGCGAACATTGTTGTGGGAAGGGCATAACTGGAATGGTGAATACTTGACGGTCTGAATATTCTAGGCAGTGGTCGGCCGCTGACCGTCTATAATCTGACGGAGACCTTGTGGGCGACGCTCCGGACGTCATTATGGTGGACATCCTTTCCTGGACAACGGACCGCGAGGACTTTCTGGACGGGATAGCGGGAGGAAGGGGGAATTGGGGTGGGGGTTGGGAGGAGGTTGGGGCAACCTGGAAAGAAATCGAGGTGAAAGGGGGGTTTGGCAGAACCAGCGGGAAATTCGCAGGTTTTTGGCCGCCAGGTTTTCGGCCGCCAGGTTTCTGAGGTCGCGGTCAATCGGTTTTTTGGGCAAAAGGAGGCGGGGTGGTGGCTTGCTGTTTGGCCCTGACTTCACGGACTTTTTTGCGATAAAAAGCGGGAGAAGATCAAACTGGGGCCGAACATTAGCAGGAAAGTGACCAAATTAGGGCCGGGTTAATCCCACCCGTTGGATGCACTTCCGAGGCTGGTCAAGTGGTAGGGCCGAGAATTCGAACCTAGATTTACAGGAAAATACAAGCATTTCGACTTTATTGGATCAAGTTTTTATTTTTAGGTTATGATCGCCGAATATTACGAAACTCGCGTCGCATTCCTCTGGGAGTAGGTTTCATCGTGGTTTTCGGAAAAGTTAAAATCACTTTAGCTAACCAAAAAAAAATAAAATTGAATCAGAGACGGATGCGACTCGGGGAGGCATCAACCCTAAACTCCCCTTGGGTTCCCGTGTTTGGGGTTGATCCCTCCCGAAAATAATGGTGCATTTTTGGCTGGTGTCAAACTTCCGGCCAAACTTCGTGTTTTCCGAGCCAGGGGCAAATTTTTGCGGGAAGACCCGAAGTGGGGCCGGCTGTGGGGCGAGCTTCGTGTCATCCCGGGAAGACTGGAAGTTGACACCAGCCAGAAATACGCCCTAAGTCCAGGTTCTCTATTGGATAGTTTTTCCTCCCTGCCCTAATAATTTTTGGTAGCGTCGTCTAGTGCTTCGTAGTGCTGATGAGTGGACAACACTGATTTATCTCGACTAACGACATCAAAATTCAAATCCATCAGTTACGACGCGCGGGGTGGTCGGACCCTCTGTCAAGTAAAATTGGATCGCGAGTTAGAAAAGTCGGATTTTAGCCCCAAAAGTCCAGGTTCGGTTTCTCCGGCCCTAATTTGGTCACTTTCCTGCTAATGTTCGGCCCCAATTTGATCTTCTCCCATAAAAAGCGGCGGACGTGCTTCCGACGCGACTCGATCAGTGATGACGGCCGCCTTTCGCACGGTGGCTACATTTCAATAAAGTTTGGGCTGACGGAGTTTTGCGAATAGCATTTTCGACCTCGCCTTGTAACCATCCGTCAGGATTACTGTACACGTACAGAACGGAACACCGTAACAGCCTCATGTTTCCGTTTCGTGATCCGAAGCTGAATTCAGGTCAGGTCCACCGACAACCACCGTCTAGTCACCAGAGTTTCTTCGCACCAGGTTGCTCGGTGGCCACACAAAGCAAAGTTGGCTCTGGAAAAAGAAAAAGTTATACACAACTCATTTCGTCACTTCACAATGATCATAAAGAACCAAGCTTGTATCGGGGACACACTTAGTTTGATACTTGTGGTGACGGAATGTGTAAATCAAGTCATCAGCCTGGCGACGCTCTGGTTGGCTAGAACATCAGCCTGGCGGCGCTTCGGTTTCGCTAGCGAAAAGAACAAGGCTTTAGCTAAATGGACGAATCGCTCTCTAGATGCCTCGCTAACTAGTCTTCACGGGGCAAGGCGGCACCGCACTAGCCATGGCTGCGCATCAGCTTCAGCTTCCCCCAATCGCGGCTGCCGATCGCAGTCTGAAATCGACTGGACTCGCGAAACAAGCGAACCGCACGCGAGACTGCGCACACAACCTGAATTCGGCCAGATTAGCGAAACCTTTGCATCTCTTCGGGAATGCAGACGTTAGGAATCTCAGGTCACAATACTCATGCCGTACCATATTAAATTCTCCTACTGGCTCTAAAGTTTCAAAATCTTCAGCCATTCGGGTGCTTGCGTCCTCGTCATCTAGGTTACAAGGCACCGCTTCTTCACAGGCCGCCACGTCATCACAGCAAGACACGTCACCATGGCCAGAGCCACCCCTGTTGGGTTTTGATTACCGAAAAGCGACAGCGGAAACGACATACAGCATCGTCACCGAGCGATACCCGGAATTGCTGGATCTAGTCCGACGTGGCGTGCTGGTAGTGGTGCAGCAACCTACAGCTGACGACGAAGACACTGGCGGTAGCGAGTCTGCGAACGAATCTGTTAAAAATGAGTCTGCTCGTACCGGGGATGAGATTCTCGCGCACACGGCATCGAATCAGCCGGCCGCTACTAGTATTAGAAGCCGCCGGTTACCCCGCGAGATCTTTATTCTCGGCACGACGCATGTGTCGGAAACGGCTGCTGAGGATGCCATGCGGGTGGTGCGGAGCGTGCAGCCTCAGAACGTGGTGGTGGAGCTGTGCAAAAGCAGTTACGTGCAGGAACAGGTTCACAAAATGACAATTCGGAGCTTTTATTGAGGCACCCAAAGCGAGGACGCTATGAGAGTGGTGCGGAGTGTGCAACCTCAGAACGTGGTGGTGGGGCTGTGTAAAAGCAGGCAAAAGCAGGTACAATCTGAGTCGCTTATGAGAATTCTCAAAAGCCGGCAAAAGGAGGGAAAAGCAGGTGTGTGCATAATGCACGGCCTGCCATAGTGTACGATCATGTATCATACATACTGTAATAGATCCTTTATTTAACATTGCTGAAAACAATTCACACACATGCTCCTTGTTCTTTCTCGTAGGTTGCAGATCCCCCATAATGCACGACCCGATACTGCATCTAAGTGGTCTTGTGGATTGCCATCAGACCTAAAAAAAACAAGTAACACCACTTCCCCGTCTCGCCTGTTGCAGATCCCCCATAATGTACGATCCAGTTCCAGAAAGCAACCAGCCGCTATCACCAAGCTCTGCCTCCATGGGTGCTGCTGCTCCTACAACCAGTGGTGCTGCTGCTACCAGCAGCAGTAGTGCTTCTCCTCCTTCCCGGGATCTTTTCCTTATGGGAGGGGCCAGCCTGCCGCAGACGCTCATGCGCAGCATTCAACTTGGTTGGTACTGCTTCCTTCATTCCTTCCTTCCTTGCCCCTCCACGCATCTCTCTCCCCTCCACACATTCTGTCAAATGTTGTAGCCTATAGTGAGGTTTGTCTTAGGGGGTACAAAACTTAGGGTTAGCTATATGTACCCCAACCAACATCAATGCATCATCCATTCTTCATTCTGACATGGTATCAGTTAGGTTAGGATCCTGTGGGATCCCGTTCCTCCGTTCTCCGTTCGAGCCTCCCGAGCCTGATCCTAGCTCTCAT